ACATATAATGGTGATTCATTTGATATGCACTTTATTGAACAACGTGCACAATTTTATGGTTTAAATATGTTTAATGAAATTGAATTTCGAAAAGATTCTCAAGATTGTTATTTATCACGTCCATGTATACATATGGATTGTATTAAATGGGTTAAACGTGATAGTTATTTACCTGTTGGTAGTCATGGTCTTAAAGCTGTAACAAAAGCTAAATTACGTTATAATTCAATTGAAATTGATCCTGAAGATATGTGTCGTTTAACTGTTGAACAACCACAAACATTATCAAATTATTCCATACAAGATGCTATAGCCACATATTGTTTATATATGAAATACGTTCATACATTTATTTTTGCACTTGGAACAATTATTTCAATGAGACCAGATGAAGTACTGCGAAAACGATAATTTAATTATAGATATTTTTTTTTTATAGATGAGTAAAATGCTATGAGAGATTAATAGAAGTCGCAAATTCATTCCATTTGATGATAAGATAAATATTATGATTTTATACAAAAAACAAAACCGAAAGCTGCTATTATGGTACAAAGGACCATGTGGTCGCTATGGCTACCATCGTAAAAATAACCGTGTAGAATAATAGAAAAAAAAAGAGGGACACCTACGCATAAGGACGAAAATTAAGGCGAATTAATTTTGTAAATGAATCGTTCTTATATATCAAGTACATAATGCACGTTTATATATAAATACAACTATATTCAGATCTCAATTTCGTCAGTTTAGAACCAAGTCAATCGAATCTCGATGAACATTACATAGAGATTCAATGTTTTCAATAATATCTGTCGATTATTGCTAAAGTTATATAATGATGAATTTTAGGTTGTGGAATATTATGTGAAACATTATTAATGGTACAAGCATTTATGGCTAATGTTATTTTTCCAACTAAACAGGAAGATGAACAGTATAAATATACAGATGATAGTCATTTACTTATTTTGGAAACTTATGTTGGTGTAAGTGTTGAAGTACTTGAATCAGATGTTTTTCGTAGTGATACACCATGTCGATTTAAAATTGTTCCGAGTGCAAAAATAAATGTATGAACGTATTTCATATATAAACAATATGTGGCTATAGCATCTGATACAGAATAATTNAAATTGTTACGTAAGTTTTTTCTATTTCTTGTTTTATATTCTATAGATCGAAAAAAAAAATAATAAATATCGAATTTTTTGTTTTTTTAGTGAAACAGTTCAATATTTAATTGATAATATTGATCGAACACTTCAACAATCAATTGAAATTGAAGAAAAATTATCAATAGATTTAATAGAAAATTTATCTGAAATTAAAGAAGATATTCTTCAACGATTACAACATTTAAAAAATGTTCCTAATCGTCTTGAAAATCCTAATATATATCATTTAGATGTTGGTGCTATGTATCCAAATATAATTTTAACAAATCGTTTACAACCATCAGCTATTGTTGATTCAACAATATGTGCACAATGTGATTTAAATCGTCCAAATGCNTGATAATATTGATCGAACACTTCAACAATCAATTGAAATTGAAGAAAAATTATCAATGGATTTAATAGAAAATTTATCCGAAATAAAAGAAGATATTCTTCAACGATTACAACATTTAAAAAATGTTCCAAAACGTCTTGAAAATCCTAATATATATCATTTAGATATTGGTGCTATGTATCCAAATATAATTTTAACAAATCGTTTACAACCATCAGCTATTGTTGATTCAACAAGATGTGCACAATGTGATTTAAATCGTCCAAATGCACGTTGTCAACGTAAAATGGATTGGATATGGCGTGGAACATATATTCCAGCTACACGTAATGAATTACAACATATTCAATTACAACTTGAAAATGAACGATTTTCATTTAATGGACAATCAATTCAAAAAAAAATCATTTGTAGATGCATCAAGAAAAGGAACAAATACAGGTAGAAAATAAAATAAATACACCTTCACTGAATAGAAGTTCACCCTATCCAAGCAAGCACATATTCTATTGAACTTCCTTTAACTGAAAAATGAGACATTTCACACACTTGAACGATAGCCGGTTAAAATTACGTGAGAGTTTATTGAACTATGTATTTCAAAAAATACGAAGAACTCATTTCGTAGTCAAGAGTTTATTTTTGTACTATTGTCAAGATAATTGAAATATATCGCCTTGCATTTCTGAACTGTGAATAAGCTTCTAAGATGACGTCACGTGACAGAGTCATATCGTTACATTTGCCTCATAGAAGATTTTTCTCAACTTCTGTGAAATGCGATATTTTATTAAATTAAGCTATCGCGACAAGCGCGATTTAACGTACGCATATTAAGATTCACAACGTACTCGTGGCAGATGAACATATGAATAAGAAAAGTAGTGTAATAAATGCAGCACTTAGGTTATCTGATAACATGGAACTGAAAAAGCATAGAAGTCAATCTATTAGCTGAGAAAACTTGAATAAAGAAAGGATTCAGAAAATAATCTATATTATAAATTTAGCTAAAATACAAAAAAGATATTTCTGCTATAAATTAATCAGTTTAGTTTTATTTGGATTACTGATTAATTTTATTTCTATGTACAAACTAACATACATCTCATTAAACAAAATATGAATCATTTTGAATATTTCTTCTGATTTACACATGATAGCTGCATAGCGACATAATTGAAGTGGTATTGATCATCCGTTTCTTTTCATATAAACTGAATTTTCTGAAAACCTTGATGTTATCCTTGTCAATATATTTGTGACAGCCCCTTTTTCAGTACACACGTACAACTTCGCTTACATGACGTATAACGGTGCGTTCACAAACCAATATTCAGCTCCGCTCATGTGGAAAGAGCTAATCATTAGTAGTTTGATTCACCGAACTCTAAATTGTTTCACATTGTATTCAAGAATGTTCATATGTAAAAACTATCTTTTCTTTTTAGCTAATAATAATGCTGTATTATTTCATGAATTACCACAAGAAACTCAATTATCAATTGAACGTAAACGTTTAGCTGATTATTGTCGTAAAGCATATAAAAAAAGTGAATCATACACGAGAAGAAACTCGTGAAACAACTGTATGTCAATGTGAAAATTCTTTCTATGTTGATATAGTTCGTGCATTTCGTCATCGACGTTATGAATATAAAGGTTTACATAAAAAATGAAAGAAAAATTTAGCAAATGCAGCAAAAAAAGATGATCTTAATGAAGCTAAACGATATAATAATTTAATTGTTATTTATGTAAGTCGAATTTTCTTTTCTTGTTATTTGATCATATTTTCAACATTTAGGATTCATTACAACTTGCACATAAATGTATTCTTAATTCATTTTATGGTTATGTCATGCGAAAAGGTTATTTTAAAATGTTTAGATATGTTAAATAAATTTTAACTTTTTGATTAATTTAGGTGCTCGTTGGCATCGAATGGAATGGGTGGTATTGTATGTACAACAGGTTCAACTATCATCAAACGTACTCGAGAACTTATTGAACAAATTGGACGACCACTTGAACTTGATACAGTAAGTTATCTTGAAAGTGATTTGATAAGTTACCAAAAAAAAAGAAATTTAAAAGTTGATAGACAAAATAAAAAGTTTTAGGATTATATGGATTACGTTGTTTAGCATATATTCGCAAGATAACATATCCGAGTGTTTGCGTCGCACTATCCATCTGGGAGCACATGTTGATATGCATGAATCCTTGTAGTTTGTCGAAGGGAAAGAACTGATTTGAATCCATCTTCTATCCAGAGCTGCAGTTAGTAATAATTGTAGAGCAGATATTGGGCTTATGAAACTGCTTCTGAGTAGCGACTCATATCTTTAGGGAGCCGCAAACAACAAGGTACTCTTCTTTATTTCATATTGTATTTAGTTACCATGAGCGATGTCAGTAGGAGATCAGCAACAAATTCCAAATATCGGTTATCCTGTTTAAATTTTTTAGACTTTCTAATTTTACTTTATATTTGAAAATACGATGAACCCATAGATTTTGACCAGGTTTACAACAAAGGCGAAAAAAAAACAAATAAAAAAAGTGTACATTTCCTAAACAGTGCCTAATGTATGTAAAAAACTTCTCAACTGTATTAGACATAATGTGGTTAGGAAAAGGACTGCAAGCAAGTCCATCTTAAGACTTTGTAACTGTGATATCTCATACAGTGACTGGAAACCCTGAAAAAGTGAAGAAATCCGTTTAAGCTTCTTTTCTATACATCTGATATTGTATGTGCTGAATAACATGTTTTCATTGTGTATAAATTTTCTTATATTTCATACGGTTGTACTCATAATTAACGCGTCAGACAAGTGACTAGTTAACATCAACGAATTAATAGATTTCATACGAATTTTTATTATTTTTTATTTAGGATGGTATATGGTGTGTATTACCAGCAACATCTCCTGAAAATTATGAATTAATAATACGTGATCCATCACGTCCAAAAGTTGTTATATCTTATCCATGTAGTTTATTAAATTTAATTATTAAAGATCATTATACAAATGATCAATATCATGAGTTAGTTGATAAAGAAAAACATTAGTATGAAATTCGTTCAGAAAATTCGATTTTCTTTGAAATTGATAGACCTTATTTAGCTATGATATTGCCAGCATCAAAAGAAGAAGGAAAGCGTATAAAAAAACGTTATTGTGTATTTAATATGGATGGTACTATAGCCGAATTAAAAGATTTCGAAGTAAAATGTAATGGTGAATTACAATTAATAAAAATTTTTCAAGCAAGTGTTTTCGAAGCATTTCTTAAAGGAACAACACTTGAAGAATATTATAATCATGTTGCAACTATTGCTGATTATTGGCTTGATATGTTATATTCACATGCAAAAGATATATCGGATAAAGAATTATTTGAATTAATTTCAGAACGAAGAACTATGTCAAGAATGTTATCCGATTATGGAGAACAAAAATCAACATCTATTTCGACAGCTAAAAGGTAAAATTAAAAGCAAAACAAAATGATGATTGATACGTAGTTACTGGACCTTAGATAAGCATAAACTGAGACTGAAAATAGAGCAAAAAAAGAAACTCTGATTCATTTATTCTGGTTATGAAAGGATTTAAGATGATCACATCGCGTTTTGACTGATTTTCGCTCATATCAGATCATCCAACGATATGCAAGTAGACTGAATTTCGTGAAAAGTACTAACGAGATTTACTCATAGACATATCTAGAAATCATAAGAATCTCTTATAAAGTTCTACTAAGAAGAATAGTCTCTTCTAGAAATATCAAATCCATAAATTTGAAGATTCTAATGACTTCAATAATTCTCTATGGGTAAAGTGTTATGGCAAAATTCGTGTATCTGCTTTTTTTTATAAGTTTCGTGCCAATGGTAAATAACTCCAAAAAAAATAAGTCTGAAACATTCATTGAATTTTTTGTTTGTTTTTAGACTTGCTGAATTTCTCGGTGAAGATGTTATTAAAGATAAAGGTCTTTGTTGTCGTTTTGTTATTGCTAATGTTCCATGTGATGCACCTGTTACTGAACGTACTATTCCATTCCAGTACCACGTGTATCGCATCCTGATTGGTTACATAAACGTTTAGTTGAAAAAAATAGTTTATATAAACAAAAACGTATAACTGATGTATTTAATTCAATTGATAAACAAACTCATATAGATAATAATGAACAACAATTAATATTAACAAATGATATTGAAGATATAGGTCAACAAACAGAATCATCAATAAAATTAATAAAAAAAACAACAACAAAAACATTAAAACGTAAACGTGAGGATTTAAATGATAAAACCACAACACGTCAATGGAGAATTGTTCTTGGTCCACCACCATCATTTGGTCAAACAACAAATCAACATATTAAATGGCTTAGTTATCAAAAACGTAAATGGGAAATACAACATGAACAACGACATCAACCATCAATAATATCAGATAAAATTCAATTATCAACAAAACAAAAAACTTCAGCTGATGGTAAAATTGATACATATATTCGTCGTGCAGCTGAACATTTGCATACACGTCCATGGCAAATCATATCATATGAATTAACTGGTCAAATAGGTATATTTAAAGCTTGTTGTTTAGTTAAACATGAATTAGTACAAATTAAAATAAAAGTTCCAAGAATATTCTATGTTAATTATCGTACATCAATTGAAAATAATAATAATAATACACATGAACAATTAAAACAAACCCAACGATCAAGTGGTTATGAACGTACAATTAATAATTGTTCAAAACATGTTAATCGTTTATTACTACGTTGTTCACAAGCTTATTATTTATATAAATATCGTTTAGATGAAAATCATTTTCATGATTATAAATACAGATATAATGACAGATTTAAGTAATCCAAATATTGAAGGTGTTTATGAAATGAATGTACCATTAGATTTTCGTTTACTTGTTACACTTGGTTGTATATGTTCATTACGTAAAGAACAATATCGTACAAATATACTTTCAAATTTNGTTTAGTTGAAAAAAATAGTTTATATAAACAAAAACGTATAACTGATGTATTTAATTCAATTGATAAACAAACTCATATAGATAATAATGAACAACGATTAATATTAACAAATGATATTGAAGATATAGGTCAACAAACAGAATCATCAATAAAATTAATAAAAAAAACAAAAACATTAAAACGTAAACGTGATGATTTAAATGATAAAACAATAACACGTCAATGGAGAATTGTTCTTGGTCCACCACCATCATTTGGTCAAACAACAAATCAACATATTAAATGGCTTAATTATCAAAAACGTAAATGGGAAATACAACATGAACAACGACATCAACCAACAATAATATCAGATAAAATTCCATTATCAACAAAACAAAAAACTTCATCGGATGGTAAAATTGATACATATATTCGTCGTGCAGCTGAACATTTACATACACGTCCATGGCAAATAATATCATATGAATTAACTGATCAAATAGGTATATTTAAAGCTTGGTGTTTAGTTGAACATGAATTAGTACAAATTAAAATAAAAGTTCCAAGAATATTCTATGTTAATTATCGTACATCAATTGAAAATAATAATAATAATACACATGAACAATTAAAACAAACTCAACGATCAAGTGGTTATGAACGTACAATTAATAATTGTTCAAAACGTGTTAATCGTTTATTACCACGTTGTTCACAAGCTTATTATTTATATGAATATCGTTTAGATGAAAATCATTTTCATGATTATTATACAGATATAATGACAGATTTAAGTAATCCAAATATTGAAGGTGTTTATGAAATGAATGTACCATTAGATTTTCGTTTACTTGTTACACTTGGTTGTATATGTTCATTACGTAAAGAACAATATCGTACAAATATACTTTCAAATTTATATCAATATGATGAATTAGAATTTTTATCATTATCAGAACAAACATATTTACAAGCAGGAACATTACAATGTATTTATTTATATATACATCAAGATAATGGAAAATTATTTATTGCTTTATTTATACCAAATAATTGTCGTGTATTTATTGGTATTTTGGATAGTATTAGAGAAAATCATATGCCAAATTTAAATAAATTATTAAAAAATGAATGTGAAAAAAGACTTCAAAAAGGTATTGATACAAATTTATTACCAATAAATGAACATCAATTTGAAGTTAAAGTTGATATGGATATAGAAAATATTTGGAAAAGATTTAATAAAATTATTTCAAATCGTAAGTAAAATTTATTTTATTTAAATTAATATAATTCTGAATCGGATTACAAAATATTTATTTTTCTTCATTCTATTCAAATCAATAGATAATAATTCGAATTTTTTTTTTACTAAAGATGAAATCTCGAATGAAAAATACTTACCAGAAAAAAAAAACCTACGCAATCTGTATCATATGATACACAAGTAGTAGATAATATCACTTTTCAATAGTTCGACATGGACCATTAATTTACTCACGCTCATTCTGCTCGGAATAATATTAATGTTTTCCTCATGATTCAAATCCGACAAAAGCTTTCGGTATACTGGTCGCTGTTTGATAATTAAACAATCAGCTATTCTATAGAAAAACGTTTTCGAAAGATCTTCATCCAATAAGACAAAAAAAATAATTAGTTACAATGAAATTCCTTCAAAAATTTTTCAATAAAACGACATTCTAAATAAAA